CTTTGACGTTAGGCTAGGCATCGTTTGTAAGGCGTGTACACCCCCTATCGTCAATATTGAACTGTATTTTGACACAAACCTTTATAAAGGATACCTCAGAGTGAACTGCATGCTTTCCATCCAGAACCGTCAATGCACGTGCTAAAATTATGGTTTTGCTGCACTGTTGGTGTGTTTGTGCGAATGGTTCGTATGGACGTCAAATTGCATGACCTCATCTAATCTGGGATCATTACGTCACTTTACTACGAACGTTCCATAAACATGAACGCTTACCTTCATGACATTTCATTTTTTCGAAACTTGCGTTTCTTTTGCTGTTCAGTATATTAACTCAGTCACTCACTCACATCTCGCTAAATTCACACTTTGCTATATTCTAAGTCCCCATGGTCCCATGTACGGTGATCTACCTTCAGTTGTTGGCAATTTGTAGCCTATTTTTATTATGTATTGTCATGTATAGTTAAATTGTTTCAGATCTACTTACTAGTTCTAAATTTCTATCTGTGATAATCAAGTCGTTTTACTGTCCTTCGTTGACAGTTGTTTTTATAATTTACCTTTTATTATTATTATTAATCTATAACTTGATATAGTCACGATATGGCTGAAATATTGTTAAAGTGACTTTAAATTTTAACTCACTCACTCACTTTGCTAAATTCACACTTTGCTAAATTCAGCTTGGCTTCAGTGAGTCTTTTGAAGAAGGCTCTGATCGTCTTCAGGTGTTCCTCCAACTCCATGGAATGAGTGATGGTGTCATTGATGTAGGCACCAACTCCCACTAGATTACCGGTGATGTTGTTAGTGTGGCTAGTCAGCTGGCTGCAGCGTCTTGAGCCCAAATGGCATATCTTCGTGTTGATAGAGTCCATCTGGAGTCCCCAGAGCTGTAACACGTTTGGCATGCTGTGTCAGTGGATTCTTCGTTAAGCCAAACTTGTTGACGTACTTGGCTTCATCGATACTATCGATACGGTTATCAACTCTTGGTATTGGTTAAGCGCTAGCTTCAGAACAGCATTACACGTTCCATGTCAGTACTGCATCTGTTACTTCCTTCAGGCATCAGTAATACAAGGTAAAACTCCACGGCCAGTAATAATGAACCAACGTCTGGTCGGGGTTGATTCAGTATACTGTCAATCTGAGTAGAGTATTGATGTTAGTCTACGGTATCACGATGGTCTGTGACTGTAAACCCGCTTACCTCCTTACCAACACGAAAGGCTTCGTAAACACACAGACATACGAATGCACATGCAATTTCGAACGCAACCTATATACACAATCTCGACCAGTGAAGATTAGAGTTAGAACTGGTCTTCAGTAACCCATGCTTGTTGTAAGAGGCGACTTAGGGATCGAGCGGTCAGGCTCGCTGACTTGGTTGACATATATCATCATATGCCAAGTGTGTACAGCGATGCTCATGCTGTTGATGACTGGATTGTCTGGTCCAGACTTGATTATTTATAGTCCATCGCCATACAGCTGGATTATTGCTGAGTTCGGCGTAAACTAAAGTCACTCACTTACTTATACACAATTTCATTCACCTAAGGCTTACTGCACGATTGTGGTAAAGCGGTGGCATGCAATATACCTCTGTTGTCACCGAAATACTTCTGCACTATTACAAGTGGTTACACACGCAAAGCACGAACACGCACGCACGCACGCGCGCGCACACGCACACGCACCCTAACACACATCACTCTGGTTCGATCTTTGTTGCATGCAAGTTTGATGAGGTTAAAACTGGCATCATAAAGTTTACTGTCAAGTTCAAATGTAACAGAGTCAACATAATAGATCTTCACCTGATGTGAAGACACGCACGCAACGATATATACTCATGCTTCTCGCTCCAACCATCTTTAAAGTGATTTACCGTGTCACCTCGCCCTTGCTCACTGCACGAATCGCGTCGATGAACCCGTGTCATCGGCTCACTGCACACTGTTATAAGAGCACAGATTCATCTTTTGTTAGTATTAACTGTTGTACCAGGAAGATAATGTATAAAAGGAGTAAAATGATACACCACTGACATTTCTAAGAAGCCTAAAGAGTCTTCTGGGAAGATACATTCCAACCAAAAAAGCTCCATGCCTCGTCATCAAAGGCTAAAAACTTACAAATTCCCTTTGTTGTGAACAATTGAACATTGGCATGTTTATTGGTTTAAAGTCCTCTGCCCTGTACTCAGTACTTGCTTGTATTCTGTTTAAATGTAATTACACTAACTAGGGGTATAACTTACATCAGATCTTTAAACCAGACTTCCCGGTTGTGACATGCACTGATATAACCGGTCTTGGTACAACGACCCCTTTGTCGAACTTGGGGTAAGGTGTCCAGCTGTCCTGAACACGACATATAAACAAACATGGTAAACACAGATATGGTCTCCGGGAACGAAACTGTCAGTGTTGCAACAATAAAGTTGTTCGCGCTGTTGCGTTGGGAATTCAGCCTCGTATCATTCTACCTTTGTTGAAATTCTTGCTACAGACACGCATGAATCGAAGCGTTGGTTACAGACAAATCTCGGTAACTCAAGGTGTCGCATTCGTCTAAGAAACTGAACGATACCATCACAACTGTTAAATATTGGCAATATTCTATTCTGAATTTAAAAAAAACACGGCATATCACATAACAATGCCGTGCTACAATGTTGGCAATCCGCTATTCCCAAATCTCTCTATGCCGACACAACCCGAGAGAATACTATGATACAATGACGGTAGCCTACATGTTCCCTTTTCATGTTCCTGCAACAACGGATGACAGTATTGTCAGAGAATATTAGCGATCTACTTATCCCCTTTTCATGTTTCTGGGACAACTGATGACAAAACTGTTATAGAATGTTGACAATCTACTTGACCCTCATTTCATGTTCCAGGCACAGCCCAAAACAGTACTGTGATAGAATATTAGATATTTAATTGTGCCCTTTTCATGTCCAGGCACAGCCCAAAACAGTACTGTGATAGAATGTTAGCTATTTACTTGTGCCCTTTTCATGTTCCAGGCACAGCCCAAAACAGTACTGTGATAGAATGTTAGCTATTTACTTGTGCCCTTTTCATGTTCCAGGCACAGCCCAAAACAGTACTGTGATAGAATGTTAGCTATTTACTTGTGCCCTTTTCATGTCCAGGCACAGCCCAAAACAGTACTGTGATAGAATGTTAGCTATTTACTTGTGCCCTTTTCATGTCCAGGCACAGCCCAAAACAGTACTGTGATAGAATATTAGCTATTTACTTGTGCCCTTTTCATGTCCAGGCACAGCCCAAAACAGTACTGTGATAGAATATTAGCATTCTACTTTTCCCGCTTTTCATGAACCTCATACAGCCCCATAACAGCACCTGAAGCTACCACACTGCACCGAATCTACTATCAAATTGGTTGTTGTACGTCAATTGCTGAATTGAGTACATTGAGTGAGTGAGTGTGTGTGTGATATGATGATGATGTTGATGATGATGGAGGGGGGTGGGCGATGGGCAGGGTTAGATGTTGTTTACGAACTTAGCGTCATTCCAGGTAGACAATATACTTTCCACGTATATCGTATGCCGCGTTAAGCTCCTGTAAGTTCTTGCTGTAACATCTTTCCGATTCATGTCAAATATATCACAGTTTTAGTCCACGTTTTGTTCAGGGATGCATCCAACTCTATTCCAGCTGGATGACGACGGACAAAATGATAACGGGTCGGTCAACCCAGCGATTGATAAATTTTGAATAAAATATTAGCAAAAAAAACCCATTTTCCTAGTCTTAACTCTCTCGTTGCCGACTACATCTAAGCAACGACGCACGCCGTCGTGATTCCGTGACCCCTTATTACCCAAGTCACAGACCCTGATCCAGCTGGTCACCTCTCATGAAGCGGTTCGGGGGTGGGCGGGGAGAGGCTTTCCTAAATCAACAAATCTTAAAAAGGGTTATTTGAGATTTAAAGGATGTTATATCAACCACACATGTATCTCTACAACGGGATAAGATACAGTATAACCTCTCTTGTGTATTTGAATCGGACAGTGAATACAATATGTAGTGGCCATACAATTTCCCGAGTCCCGTGCTGGGATTCGAACCACGGACCTTCTGATCCCAAATCGGACGCCTTGTCCACATGACCAAAGAGGTTCACCCTGTCAGCATGCTGACAAGGTAAGGATGTCATCTGTGGGATGACTCCACGCCCTGCTACATACTCTCCCCCGTCAACAGAAGGCACATCCCGATCCGCATAGCACGGTACTGAGACATATTTTACTCAAATTTAATTCAGAAAAACTTTTTTATTCTGTGGAGGCGACGTTTCGACATAGATTCTAATGTCGTTGTCAAGCATTCTAAAATGCCCATCAAAGAAGTCAAATTTAATATCAACGTGCTCAGCCCCACATTGGGCGCCAATGTCGCAAGCATAACATTTACGAGTGCCGTGATGGGATTCGAAGCACGGACCTTCTGATCCCAAGTCGAACGCCTTGTCCACATGACCAAAGAGGTTAACCCCGTCAGCAAGCTGACAAGGTGAGGGTGTCATCTGCGGGATGACTCCACGCCCTGCTACAAAGATATCGGAATAGTTGTAGATGTTTCATTCAAGTAAATTGCAAATTCATATATAGTGGAAAATTCAAGAAGAAAACTGAATTTTTTGTTCTGTAACTAAACGTTTATCTGAAATTATAGACAGAGATTGGCAAATGACCATGCAATCCAATGCAAAGAGTATTGTTTTTTGTCCTTCACAAAAAAATCTTGTACTTAAACAGGGTGGCTGTATAGACGATCTTGCTAAATTCGGTCTGGGTTGGTGTAAACCGGTTTAACACAGTTGTTTAATCATATTGTATGCATGGCTTTTACTTGGGGCTTGATACACTTCAAGAAGCAGGAAGATGTCGGTCGAGCAAGATCATTGGTTGTCCTCGGGAACAGGATGTAGAAGGGGATTTTAGGTTGGAGTGTATAAAAGGGACCGCACATTTGGGGAAATCAACTTGGATCGACAAGCAGTTGCCAAGCCGTTTCGTTGTGAAGAATTCTCCCAGAGAGCCTCATCATGATTACCAAGGTAGATAGTCTTCATATTTTTCACTGTTTTCTACTTAACTTTCAATTCTGTTCTTCATTATTCTGAAAGGAACTTTAAACAGGAAAACCTCACTCAGGCACATTATACTTACTCGGAGTCGACAAGTCCTTATATTAGTTCTGTCAAACGATAGAAATGGTAACAAGTACAACCGGCTTTCACTGATTATTTGTGTGTGTGTGTGAGTGTGTGAGCCTTAGTTTTACGCCGCTTTTAGAAATATTCCAGCAATATCACGGCGGAGGACAATGAGCCACGATGAGCTTCACACATTGTACCCATGTGGGGAATCGAACTCGGGATTTCTGCCTGACCCTTTAACCACTAGGCCACCCCTTCACCCCATTTAAAAATATATATATATATATATATATATTTATATTTTCTTATATTTATTTGTATTTTTGTATGACACTGCCGGGGATCGGAATTTGCTAGTCCGTCCTCCTCGCAGACGCACCTAGAAGAACCTTCAGTAGCCCATGCTTGTCGTAAGAGGCGACTGACGGGATCGGGTGATCAGGCTCGCTGGCTTGGTTTGATACATGTCATCAGTTCCCCAGTTGCGCAGATCGATGCTCATGCTGTTGATCACTGGATTGTCTGGTCCAGACTCGATTATATACAGACCTCCGCCATATAGCTGGAATATTGCTGAGTAAACCTAAACTCACTCACTCACTCCTCGCAGACGCTTTATCCATACCATACCATAGAGGCGTCGGTGTTTCTGAGTTTCTTTTCTTTTTCACTTAAGTTTTGTCTCTGATCATTTAATAGGCATTTCTTAGCTGGTTTACGGACCAACATCTATATTATGCTGTAAGAGCGATCTTTGGGACAGATCCCATATATACTATACTTTACCTATATTTATGTATATGTACTGTATGCACACAAACAAACAATTATGTGGTTTTGTACTCTGGGCCATGAGGCCACTATGCGAAATAAACTCTCTCGAAGTCAAACTATACCTTTGTCGAACAGGTCAGGTTTGTCACTCCGAAATTGGCTATTTCAGAATCAGCTTTGTTGTAGATACTTTACATACCGCAATGGGATTGACGTTTAAATTGTCGTTGCATCAATAATCATTATTGTTCGTATTTCATTCTTGGCGAGTCATTATTCCGAATACAATAATTTACCTTTTGTTTATTTTTTTCAGGTTGCAATCCTGACTCTTGTTGCAATAAGCATCAATGGCTGTTTTGGTATTCCCGTGATCCAAAATGTGAGTAGAAAACTATTTAACGAATATATAATATTCAAAGTTACGGACCTAAGGAATTGCTTGTCATAAGAAGGTATTGGTTGCAAAGTGAAGAGCGAAATTCTTAAACAGATACCACCCACGTACAAGTTGATGCAAAGTAGTAATTCTGGGTTCGATTCCAGGATTCACACTGATTTCTGGTTTGTCACCACCATGTCCGTGATCAGGAATTTCAACGACACTGTTATCCCCCTTCCACTGACGTGATCAGGAGTTTCAGCAACACTGTTATCCCCCTTTCACTGACGTGATCAGGAGTTTCAGCAACACTGTTATCCCCTTTCCACTGACGTGATCGACTAAGAAATGTACTGTTAAACAGTTTAAAACGCAAGAACGAAATTTCACAATAGATTGTCATCTTGTTCTCTCCACTATTATATATGGTATTCTGTATATTATTTGCAAATGTATATTTGTATGTGGGCCGGAGGCCTTCAATACAATAAACTCTTTTGACTTTGACTTTGACACTGACGTGATCACGAGTTTCAGTGACACTGTTATCCCCCTTCCACTGACGTGATCAGGAGTTTCAGCGACACTGTTATCCCCCTTCCACTGACGTGATCAGGAGTTTCAGCGACACTGTTATCCCCCTCTCACTGACGTGATCAGGAGTTTCAGCGACACTGTTATCCCCCTTCCACTGACGTGATCAGGAGTTTCAGCGACACTGTTATCCCACTTCCACTGACGTGATCATGAGTTTCAGCGACACTGTTATCCCCCTTCCACTGACGTGATGACAAAGAATATTGTTTAAAGTAGCCATAAATGTAACAAAGTCACTCTCTCAAGTGGGCACCTTTCAATAGCTATCTCTCTTTGATTTACTCCTATAGTTTAGTTCCGAGATTGTCTTTGGCACGAATTCAACGCACTGTAACATATCGTCTGCATGTTTCAACAGTGCACCCTTGTGGACCTTGGAGATGACGTAGAAGCTCTGACGTGCGGTTCCGAGACGGTAACGAGGTTCAAGAACGGAACACTCATCGACACACAGTATTTCGCGAACGAGGTGAGAGTTTATGATTTGAGATTCAACTTCACGACTCTGCTAGTCTTGCTCTCAATGTTTCAATGCTTAAACGACGCAATGTTAAAGACTCGTGGTGTTGAAACCAACATATTATTTATTCATGGAGAAACTGAAATGTATATCCTTTCTTCCCACTTCCGTTTTCATGTACATACACATATAATTAATAGTTTGTGCAAAATACTTACGTTTCGTTGTGTTCATTGTAATTATTTGCAATCTGATGAGCTGTATGGGTCACGTGCTATTTCATTCATTTCTCAGTGAATGTAAATTATGAAGCCACGCCCACAGAAGCTTATGTCAATAACAAATAATCACAGATATTCTCATGCATGGGACTTCTCGTCGCTATTGCTGACCCGTGAAGGTCCGGGTTAGAATATTGATCTTCAGTAACCCTTTGCTTGTGGTAAGAGGCGACTAACCGGATCGGGTGGTCAGGCTCGCTGGCTTGGTTGACACATGTCATCGGTTCCCAATTGTGTAGATCAATGCTCCTGTTGTTGATCATTGGATTGTCTGGTCCAGACTCTTATTTACTGACCGCCGCCATATAGCTGGAATATTGCTGAGTGCGGCGTAATACTAAACTCACTCACTCACGCTATGGCTGAAATGATGCCGATGGAACGTGACACTCAACTCAAGTCTAACGGAAGTTGATTGTATATGAGGAATGAAACAGCAAATATGCGGGGTCGCTGCCCCCGGTTCTTTAAATCGGAATCATGAAGTTTGCACATCATTTTATCGATTCATACCTCTTTGAACTGAGACCTTAAGAATTGAATAAATTCTGTCTGTCTGTCTGAACGCAAAACATTTTTTCACAGACGCTTTCGGTTCTCCAACTTACAAACGAGACATCGGCATGCTATCTTCACCGTTCGGTCCCCTTACCAGATGGAGTAAGTATACATATATTTCACACTTTCGCAGTTCTTCTCTCCGATATTTCCTTTATTTCACGATTTAACGCCTATTTGATAGTGGTTCATAAACACGCTTTCATGATTGTCTGAATCGCATATTGAAAGTGGTTCACTAACACGACTGACATGATTTCGTAACATGACGGAATTGGTGAGCCTTATTTATCAATCATTCCGTCAACAGATTGACTTTGCGCAAGCGTCAGAGTCCGATGTCAGAGAAGAAGCCAACGCTGAAACATCTGCCTCCATCGTCGCTCTGGTCCCACAATGTGCAGGACGTGTTGTCTATGAGCTGGTGCCTGAAACAGATACAACCACCACAGGTACGTGGATCGTGCTCGTAATATCAATCACCGTATTGTCTCGTCCAGACCCGGTTATTTACAGACAGCCGCCATTTGACAGGAGTGAGTTAAGATTTTTAAGTCACATCGACAGTATTTCAGCCATTTCGTGACTAAAACAAGTTATGGGTTCATAATACATAAAGGTAAATTTATATACTGTCAGCGACAGTAAAAACAACTAGAATATGACAGATATTAATTTAAAACTAATAATTCTATTTTATTAACTAGATGACAATACAATATCATATAAAAACACGCTATAGATTGTCAACAAGTGAAGTTAGATCTCTATACTAGGGACCAAGGGGACTTACAATTTTTATTTGCTTCCTGCATGGGCCCTAGCTGGATTTATACCATCCCATCAGATGTTAGCAATTGTAGACGAATGTAGAAACTTATTAAATTGAAATATATAATACGAGTAAAAACTGGTAGATATATAAATGCCTTAAGACACTATGGATATTGCTTCGGCGTTAAAAACACCCGAACAAAACAAATCTCATACATGTACATACAAAAAGGAAACCAATGGACCTCGTTCATAAACTGCCGTTGTGGGTTACGTTAACGCGGTAGGCCCATAATTGGTGTTTTACATCGTCATCTGATACTAAATGCAGCTTGCACATCATCTATGGAGCTTGCACATCATCTATGTAAGAAAGGTACATACTTATAACGTTCACCCCATGAAGTACTTAGTATGGTGATCCACCTTCAGTTGTTGGCAGTCTATAGCCTGTTTATATATTGTATCGTCTTGTATAGTTAAAATGTTATAAATACATTTACATCTGTGATAAAATATTTGTTTTTTCAGTCCATCGCTGACATGCTTTTTTAAAAAAGATTTACCTATAATCATTATAAATATAGAACTTGATATAGTCACAATATGGCTGAAATACTGCCGATGTGACTTAAAATTTTAACTCACTCACTCACTTATGCGATTGTGCATATCACTAGCGCTGTATCGACACTCCATATCACCAGTTGTTAACAGAATTGCTGGGATGAAAGCATTAATATGGAACACAAACTGACGAAGAGCAGTAAATACGATTGAAAAGTTTTGTCAAAACTCGGTTACAAATGTCATTTAAATTTCTTACGTGCTGCGGGGGTCCGGCCATGTTATAATTTTCGAAGATCATATCATTCTGAAAGTTGTTCTCATTTCCACAGAAAAGTTGATATATGTATTGCATGCATTAATCCACGGGAAATGATATCGTTGTAATTTCTTCCCTTGCTGCATTGATATTAATATTCATATATATTCCTCATTGCAGGTCGAAAGAAGAGATGGTGTCGGTATATTTACCGTTGCTATTACAGATACATACGTAGATGGGGCAGATGGTATATCTATTGGTATTGCAGATATCGCCTTTACTGCTAATTGATCAAATTTGCTGGGCTAAATCCAAAGTCTTTGCATTAAAGAAACCTTCCTCTTGCTCATAGATTATTTTGTCATCTGTTGTATTTAGCTATTCGTATTAAGGATGCTCTCGGTAGGACCAAAATGAAATAGTTGGAAAGTTTTGTATTTGTCAAAGCTGACTTGAAACAAAAATAAAGAACAATTACCATGAAAAATGAGTTGTGTTTCCGTTTGTGTGTACTGTTTTTATTTATGGTACAATTAGCGCTCGTTAACTCGAGGTTCTTCTTCTGGTAACTCGACATCATCCACATTTCTGAATGAGAACGTGGTGCAAATATACATACGAAAGACAACATCACCTTAAACGGTTGAGATTGTCTAGTTGATGATGTTTCAAAGTATTATGTAAAACATCCAAAGAAGGAAGTTTACACAAACCATAACACCAGAAGCCTGTGTCCTTGTTTGACATTCCAGTCGTATTGATCACAAGGACATACATGTATTGCAGTCCCATCAAAATACCCGGAATCACAAATAACTGACATACTAAAGAAGGTAGACACCTGGTGTTTTGGGATTAGTTCCCCACAAAAATAGCTACCAAAATTAATTTTAAGTTTGAGGTTACAAACATTGTATTCTGACCAGCAAAAGAAACGCAATTCAAGAAATCAAAACAATTGTGTTCAAGTATCAAATCCAAACTCGTGCTGAAACCGTGTAAGTTTCTGCTATAAATAGATTAATAGCCAATTTTTACTTTGTATTGTTCAAAATAGTTTTCTTCTTTTTAAAGATGTATCCTAGCTAGTTTTACTCTTTATGTGATAGTATTGTTTTTACTGTAATTTGCCAACAGAAACCGAGGAAACGTTATTTCTTATCAGTCGCGAACATCTTAACTCACTCAAAGCTCGAGTATGAGAAGTACATGTTTACGTAAAATCGTCAATGTCAATTAGTCTATAAATTGTCAACATCAGCGGTGTCTGAACACTAACTATTGTTTGTGGGAAGGTGTTCGAAATCGGTGTAAAATCAGTTAAATCTTGAACACTCAGATGATCGAAACATTTGATTGTGCACTTCTTAATGGCTGTTTTACTGAAAAAAGAAACTTACGACATATCACATCTCCACTCATGGATATAGTGTAATTTGCCAGTTTACCATATATTTGAAAGAATCCAGATACATGTGTTATGTTTAGAATGGATAAATAT